CGAAGACGACCGCTATCAAATTTCGCGAGGTGGAAGTGAAAAAAATAAAATGTCGTGGTATAAGATTTAAATGCAAAATTCTTTTTTTTTCATAGAATTAGAATCAAGGAAACAATATTAGTTGTTTCACCTAAATTAATCCATCGTTTTATATTTAGATAAGATGTTTCATGATACATTCACTTTTCTTAGCTAGAATATTTAAGAGATTATCATTTATCTCAATTTTTTCTAATTTCCAGTATGGAATGTTAATTATATAAAAAATAAAATTTTTATTAAATTTTGATCTACAAGTTTACTATAGAAGATTTTACCTTTTGTATCTAAAAAAAAAATTGACGCTTTTATACATTTTTAAACATCTATATATAATAGAAAACCTCACTGTAAATTCTCATTAAGAAGAATTTGATCCTAAATTCGTCTGGAAGAATTTATTATAATTTCATGGGACATCATATAGTTTTAGTATTACGATCAGAGAGTAGTATACAACCCATAAATTAATTTCTTAAATTTATCAATGTAACCTAACTTTGTGATGTTAATAATGATAACACTTTACTAAGTGTTGAAAGTGTTCTTTTCTTCAAGATTTATTAGTGTCAAACACTTATAATTAGTTTAAATATATATTACGCATGTGCATATCGATCGGGAATTTGGAAAACGAATAGGATGCCTTTGATAAATCAAAATCAGTTTTGCTTTAAAGAGAAGACGTTGCGTGTTAAAAAAAAAAATCTAATTTTTAAAGTGTTTGAATATATTAATCATTAGGAATACATATTTTTTAATTTTTAGATATGTGTCTTATATAGTGTGAAAAAATAATTCTAAAGTGATAAAATTTGTTAAATATATTTTTATACATGCCTATACATGATTATCCTAGGCACGTCGAAATAATCGCGTTAAATTATATAAAAGAGTGTTTCCTTTATTCTTTGGGATTATAAGAACCCAATACTAATTCTAACAATTTATTCATTCAATAAAATTATTTGATTGCAAGGAAAATTTGCGCTCGTAATTTATTTAAAATTTGTTGAGAAACGGTTTGCAGTTCATTTGCGATTTATCCATTGAGCTGATTACGGATGCATTACGCTTTTGGAGAGCGCGGTAGTGCGGAGAGGGTTTTAAGCGGAACGCCAGAAAGATTCGCGAAGGCGTGCGACGTGTGCGACTCGCTGTCGACAGTTTTTCGTGGACCGCTGATACAGAATCACACTCGATTTTACGAGGTAGAGAATTCTTTTAATTAAATGAACAATTTTATATGTGTGACGTGATTATTTTCTAATTATTTTAGAGTGTTCGATAGTTTATCGAGGGAATAGTGACTATTTCTTGCAAATTTTATATCCATTTTACGAATTTAAATTCGCCTTATTACGGATTTATGTAATTTAATATTTCGCTGATTGTGTGTGTGCAAAGTAAATTTGTGGAAAATTTGTGAATGTGATAAAAAAAATGATTTAATATGCGTGCGTTTATGTAAAACAAATCAGCATTTTTTATTATTTTTAAAAATGATATCTTTTATTAATTTACATATTCAAAAATAATCCCGTATAATTATTTCAATAATTGATTTTATAGCATTAATTAATCTTGTTTATATTGATAAAAACATATACGTGAGCTCTAATAATTCTTTAATTAATTTTATTTTGATTTAAAAGAATATGAATTGTTTTGATATAAAGAAATATATGAGGTAAAATTTTGAAGTTCGATGACAGCTTGATCGTTTCATGTTGAGGAGAAGTGGTATCCGAATCTTTTTCTTGACTCAAGTGCTACTATAAAAAATAAATTTTTAGCATCATCACGTCATCTCACGCAATGCCTTTTCACATATATAGATAATTATATATAACAATATAAATATATATTACATGTATATCATCATTAATTACGTCGGCAATTTATTATACAATTTATTTTATATTTTTGTTTTACGGTATAATGTTAAACAAAAAAAGTATTAAAAAATCGATTAATTATGCAGGAAGAAAACAAAACTGATTGTAATATTTTTTCACAGATATTATTTTACGTGTTAAATAATATATGGCTCTATTAATTTCTACAACTACACATTTTAGTCCAGAAAATTATCTTTAGCTAGAAGGTATTTTTTATTCATTTGCAATGCCGAAATATATTAAATCGAAGTGTATTTCATACAACTATATATTGTATATGCATTATATTTATTATTAACTTATATGCAATGTTTTATTTCACAATGTGTTTCGTAAACTAAACTGTCCTTCTGTAAAAAGATAACTGAAAATGCTACAATAGTAGTTCTCTATTCAAATCTTGGACAATGTTCGCGTTTATGAAGTTCATCTTTCGGATGTAATATTATAGACCTTGGAAAAAAGTCACGTATACATGCGCGTACCAAAAATAACTTGGCATCTCGCCGTGCATCGCGAATCGTAATTTAGCGTGCGTCCGATTAATTTTCTATTATATATTATTTTATAGAAAATTCGATGATATCGTTTAAAGAAAACGGAGATATAATTTTAATACTATTGCAATTATTTTTTCGTAAATAAATGTTTTAGTAAATTAAAATATTTTTGTATCTTATTTATTGACACACTAATTTTAGATGCTTTCCAACAAAAATATACTTAAACTGTAATAAATGTATTGGGACGCGAGCGTAAACAAAAAAGATATATGAATACTTTTCTCTAAATGTACCACTATTTATAATTAGGCACTTTATTTATGAAGATCAAATATAAGTCACATGTTATAGCGGGATAGTTTAGTCAAACACGTGTGCGAGTCTTCACTCAAGCGAAGCTGATTGCGATTCGATGCACTTTTGCAAACTTTTAATTTGATCAATGGCAACAATTGGAAGTTGAGATTCTTATTAACAAAAATAATATATTGATCTTCTATCATGTTTAGATGTGCGTTTCTGTTAAATGTTTCTTTTATTCTCCAATATAGGTTTAAATTGAATAATTTCAAATTTTACTTGTGAATATAGATCAATTTTCAGTTGTTTTTATTGCAAAAAAGTTATACACACAAAAAATAATTAATAATTTAAATTTTATTTTATATATTATAATGTATGCAATTGTATTTCATATAATGTAATTGAATATTTTTTCTACACCGGTAATCTTTTAATCGCGATATTTCGCGGTGCAGGTAAATCATCACTGCGAATCAGGACGAGCGATCATTCTAAAAGGCATTTCAAGGAGACAATATACTGGTCCCAAGGAAAATTTCTCGATTAACGCATCCTGAGTGACTCAAAATACGATCTACCGGCGACTCGCAGAGATAGAATCGCACCAGCTGATCGTATCAGCATTTCGTACACACGCATATTTACACATTTGATTCGCCGGCAAACGGCAGGTAGGTTCACCGACATCCACTTCTTCTTCGATTATTTCGCAGGTGTGTGTATTCGCGCTAGTGATGGGCATGATGCGCGCTTCCCAGTGATATCGATGCCTGTTATAAAGTATTTGTCAAATAAAGCCGTAGATGGAGATATTAATAAATGATGATGAAGAAGAAAACAATAGATAAAAAATATAAATATAGAATATTTAAATCGCCTTTGCATATATTTGTGAATATTTACAAATAAACAAATCAAAAGATTTTGAATTGTTAAGATTAAGCTTTATTCTTTTAATTAAATATTAATTCAATTATTAATTGTTAATTCAATAATCAATTATATAAAATAATATAAAATATTGTTTATATATCCGGAAACAATTAAAAAAACTACATTTTTCTTAATGCATAAAGTCAATAACTAAATACTTTTACAATTATATATATGGATTTATACATTTTATTTACATAAATTATACATCTTAAAATTTTTATCATATATTTTATCAATCATATTAAATTAATTTCCAAAATTAATAAATTCACACCGTTTTTAAATAAATTTAACTAAATTATATTCAAATACATCTACCAAAATCCGAATAAATTTGAAGATCTAAATCAGACTTATATGTAGGCTTGAAGGTCAACTGATAGGTCAACAAACAAGACGGCTTTATGTTTAGACAACAGCAAGCGTTCATACCACTGGAGCAAAGTTCTCCTTAAAATTCAAGCCGATAGTTTGTGCCCATCGCTATTTCTCGAGTCACCACATAGCCACGTCTTGTCCTCGTCACTGATAGCACTCGCGACTACCAACACTACGATTCTCAGGTACTAACACAGGGGCGCGCACCCCACCACCCTCATCCGTGAGAGCGTAGCAGCGGACCGGCCGATAAAATGAATGAGAATGATAAGTCAGTTAAGTGCGAGAACTCCGCCGAGGAGGAGGAGGACGAGATGTACGAGCGCGAGCTGGCCGAGGACGCGCAGTGGAAGCGAATTCAGCAAAATACCTTTACGAGATGGGCAAACGAACGATTGAAGGCGGTCAACAAGCACATCGGCGACTTGGAATGCGACCTGTCCGACGGTCTTCGGCTGGTGAGCCTTATCGAGGTGCTCTCGCAGAAGCGGCTACCAAAACACAACCAACGACCAACCTTCCGTTCCCAGAAGCTGGAGAACGTATCCGTCGCTCTTAAGTTCCTGGAGGACGAGGGCATCAGGATCGTCAATATCGGTGAGTGATACCATGTGCGTGCTCGATCACGCTTGAAAATAGATTCGTCCTGTCCTTGTAGTGATTGAAAACAATGAACTTGATCGTTTGAGCGGAGCAAGAGTACACACACACACACACACATGTATTAATTATTATAATGTGTTTACTAGTAAAAAAAATGATTATTCTAGGAAATACTGATGTTTCATGCTTAGATAAAATGATTGAGAAGTGATCAAATTTGAATAAATCAAACCAAAAAACGGTTGTAAAAATATATAAATGTCATTGGTAAAATATTATTTTGAGATGCTTTGTATAACTAGGAAGAGAAATAATAATTTTGAAAAATAATTATGATATTATTTCCCATGTTTGTAAAATGATTATTCCATAAGATAACTATTGATGGACATATTTATTGCCAAAGTCGTGTACAATGTTGATTTAATTGAGAAGAAACTCATGTTTCGAGCAAATATCTAGACAATAATATGTCTATTCTTATAACACTCGGCAAAAAATCGTGCTACACAAATGACTAATTTCTAATTTGTGGTTAATATTCACACTTCTCATTTACAATCTCTCGATACGTTACACCACGTGGTAGTTACAATTACCGCGAACCTGCATGGTCTACGGATTTCAAGTAGATTGGATTTATCGATCCCTAGATTTCTGCATTTTATAGAGACTTGCGCAGATGTTTTGAGAATGTAAGGGAATGTGTGCGTATATATGTAAAGAACTAATTTTTAAATTAATCAATATGAAATTATATTTATGTGAGATAAAATTAAAATTAAAATATTAAGATATATAGTGACATACATAAAGCAATATACATAATTTTTTCAGAAAGAAAAGCTTTTTTTATATATTTTCCATGTATTAGAGCATGAAAAAATTTATTTGCAAGAAATATTGGGTCGGATTGCTATTTAATAAAACAATTATCATAAAGACAATCTTATAATTCATTATATGTTATGATGAACATTCATAATTAAATATTAACGCTAATCTATATGCAATCGATTTATTTCAATTCTATAACAAATCTCACGTTTTACTTAACAAAATATTATTTAAATTGATATAATATAAAATTAAAATTATGGTAATGATATAATCGCAAAGATTAAATAACAATTAAATGTAAAACTAAATATAATTATGATTATCCACTATCTGTAAAAAATTAATAATAGAAAAATGGGACAGAAAAACTATGTTTAAAACATTGAGAGAACTCTGACTGAGAGAAAGCATGTTACACACGATACATTACACATTATGCAGTATAATTTTAAGAAATTTTATAGAATGTTTCTACATGTCTGGTTATGCAGTCTCACGAAGTAATTTTAAACTGTTAAAATCGCAATAGGATATTTATTCATTTACGTAACATTTATATGCCATATTATAAAAGTATAGAACGCAAAAATTTACTTTTTCTTCTTTTATATCTCATTTTAAATTAACACACTAACAGTTATGCGTAAAATTTATAATATCTGTTTTAAATATGCGTTTGTTTGCACGATGAAAAATGTCGGAAGCCGTGATGAACGATTAGTCAACAAAATTTGAAGACAGGCGTCAGCGAATAATTAATCGCACGTTCCGCTTGCGTGGAAATCAATGTAGATCTGACTGATAAAGAGAATCTTGCGATATCGCGACCCATTAAGATTTAATCAATTCAAACATCGCGATTACGAAATTGACAAAAATTTTAAGCTATTATTGGCTTCTTGATGATATATATCAAGATTTTGAATGCATCGAAAATTTCATCGAATTTTCTTAGTTCCACATTTAATTTTAAATTTTAATAATATGTTAAATTTTTAAATTAAATTTAAATATAAATCTGGATTTTAATGTTCAAATGTATATATTTTTTAAGAATATAATGTCATGTAAGAATGAAAAATTCTATTTGTAGCGAGATTACGAATACTAAAATCGTGTTTTAAAATATTTCTTTTTTACTGGATAAAAGATGTTCGGCTGATATAATGATATGCAGAATATTTCTGCCTGTCCTCACCTTTAGATTCGAGATCAACCGCTATAGAGCACGAAATAAAAGCGATTGTAGAGCATAGCGAGAGGGTTGTGGATCGATGACGCTCGCCCGGGCTACCCGGGAAACCAGAGGGTAGTGATGGGATAATGCTGTTCACGTGTTTTTCGCGAATGAACAACCCGACATCACGTCATTCATCTTCATCCATTCATTTAAATTTAGTTAAAGCCTTTCGCTATAATATGACGTAATTTTTAAATTAAACTAATTGACTTACAAGAAGTCTCGGCTTCCTCAAATTATTCATGCATTTCTTGAGCAATTTAAAATATATTTTTCTTTGAATTACAAAATATATATCAAAGCATCAATAAATTTTTAAGTTATAATTATTTACCAGCCATGGAAACTTTCAAAAATTTATCTTTAGAAATGCAAATATATGTAAGTAATAAAACCTTTTTCCACGAATTTTATTTAACAGAATTTTAAGGATTAGTTTTAAAAATATTCAAAATTAGGAATTTAAATTTATAAGAAGAAATTGGACTCTCTCATAAAGTTTTTAATAATAGTCTACGATTCGTCGAGTCCGCACTATCAGTCAGACCACGTGCGTCTGTAACCACTTGTTGGCAAAAGAATCTGAAAGAAAGACAACGGTGCCGATGGATGTTTCATTGTATGACAATTCTCATTTTTAGTTCGTAAATAAAGCATTAAGCATCGTGCAATAGCTTATTTGAGAAACGATAATCCCCGTATAATTTTGGAATTTTCATATTTGCACTGAAAGATTGATGACTGCTTACTCGACGATGTCATTACGATTTGTCGCATCCTTGAGCAAAATACTTGTGACTGGTAGTGACGTAATTGAATATATCATTGATGATGTCATTACGTTTCTTTAACCTGCAACTGTTATATCGCAAAAGAGAGAAACGTGCTGATAAACATATGTGCATAAATGTGGAGCCACGTTTCGTGAAGTAATCATACAAATCTTTAAAAATACATTTTTCTCTTTAGACAGATTTGGAAAAATGTTTTGATTTATTTATCGCTTCTGACAATTTACTTGTTTACAGATTTGGGCAGAGCAAATACGTTAGATATAATGATTTATAGTTTTTGTAGTATATATAATGTAATTAATTTAATAACTACTATATTTAAATTTCTTCGAGTACAATATAAAAGCAAGGACATAAATTATTTATTGAATTACTAATTTTACATAAAGATTTAAAAATAATAACATATCTTTACTTTCTTAAATAATATTTATCTATTCAGGAAAATTGCTTTTCTACATTATGTTTTTTTTTTAATATCGCAAGTATATAAGTATATATAATGTAATTCTATCGTTATTATATATTGATATTACCCTTTACACTGTTATTAATTTTAATGTCTAAAAAGAAGAGAAAAAAAACTTTATTTTATATATGTAAAAAATATAAAATAATATAAGAAGAATATATTATATGTTAAAGTTAATTTTGAGGATATGATGTTTAAAGATTTATGTATCAAGTTCCCAAGATAGACAAAAGTCGGATGGTTCAAATCAAATGATAATTTATTTATTATTTTTTTATTTTTTATATCGCAACTCATGATATAAAGCATATATGTGTCATGAGTCGAGAGCTTTCTCGCTGAAAAATTCTTGCGTTCAAAAATTTTGCAAAAAGCTACAGCGCTAGTCAAGAAACTAATGTGCTTGATGTTAAGTCATCGCAATCTCGATCGAGATGTGACCGCAAGATCCGAGCGTTAAAACCGCTCTATTATCGGATATCAGCGGAAGCTACGCTCGCGCTATTACGTGAGGGACACCCTGAAACTCGCTTGAGAAGTATCTCGCGGGGCCCACCAAGGAGCAAAAGAAGGAGAATGGGCGGGCCCACGTAGATCAGTTGAAGGTCAAGCTCGCCTTGGCACCACGGACATCTTTCTTCGCATTTATTACATGACTAAGTTTCTTTCTTCCTTCCCCTAGTGCCCCTATCAAGCGAAAATGATCTCGTGACATTTTTGCAATTTTATTTTTTCGTGAAATATCTCGTCAATATTTCGACAGGGTTTTTATGCAAAAAGTTGCTTAACGCTTGCACGTATAATATATGAAAGAAGTTTCTAAAAAAGTTTGGTAGAGAAAAATATGATAATATTTTGTGCTATAAGAATAATTTACAGCACTTTGCAGGTTCAATTTATTTAATCAATTAGTTACAAGACTTTAAAGTTTAATTATTAATAAATAAATAATATATAGTTAGGTATGTATATATATATATATTGCGAGATCCCAGGATTTTACAAATTTGTTAAAATTTATTTAAAAAGATGATAAACACTCATGTACGAAGTTATTGATACTTTGATTAATAATATAATAATTGTATTATTCTCTGTATTATTTTTCATGTATAAGTATCTTTCATCTTCTATAAAAATAGCGTGTTGAAAGTATTACTTTCAAGGATTTACTTCTAATATGGCATAATTCAATTGAATCTCATAAAAAAAAATAATATTATTCAAATAATTTAATAAGTATTTCCTAAATTATAGTGTTTCCGCGCGTAATTTGCGCGTGTATTAAAAACGATTACTTTAACTCTCAAACGCAACCTTGACATTAAGAGAGTATGTTGTTCTCGTGTGATCCCGTGAGAGCGTGTCTCTCTATGTGTTAAGTCGAGTTTTTGACCATTGCCGAAATGTGTTTACCTGTCTTATTTTCACCATAACTCATAAAAAATATCTTATACATGTCATAAGTAAATATTTTAGATCGTAAATGTCATTTTTTTTTTACATATCTTAGGATTAAACTTATAATATTCTGGAATTTTTCTGAAATCTTCAATACTTTTAATATTTATAATAATACTTAATACTTAATGTATTTAATAAATTTTAAAAATATTATATTTATTTCATACTACACAATTATAAATGT